CTGGCTGAATCATCTGCGCTCCTGTGTTGCCTCAGCATTTCCATCTCAGATGACGTCTTGTCTTGGTTACTTTTGTCTCACTGCTGAAACAAAATACCTGACACCCAAAATGAAGCAAAGAAAGGTTTATTTAGCTCACTGTTTGTGGAGGTTTCAGTCCATAATCACCTGGCTCCAAGGCAGGGTGGCACGGCACTGGAACAGCATTTCAAGGCAGCAGCCAGACAAAGAAGGCAGAGCAAAGCAGGGGAGAACAAGCTTGTTCTCCTTCCTTATAAGCAGGCCACCCACCCCCCTGGGCGGGTATAGCATTCACACCACCTCTGTGCCTTCCTGGTGCACAGGGTAAGGGTATTTACAAAGGAGGAACCCTACCTCCCTGCCCAGTCTCTTAACTAGGCTTCTAAATGTCTCAAGTTGACACATTGTATCAACCATAACAGGTCTCCTATGCTAGTCTTGTCCTGCTAGGAACAGTTTCCTCAACATCTTCTCCCAATGAGCCTGTCATGGCCTCTGTCCAGATGTCCCCCCAAAGCCTCATGTGGTCACAGGTGGGCAGTTTCAGAGGCGGCTGGATTAGGGTGTGAGAATGTGGATTAAGGGCGTGGATAATGGGAGTCCCGCCTTGGTGATGGATGGCACAGATTTATGGGCTGGTACCCGGGGACAGAAAGAAGGCAGGGCTGCTGTTGCTGCTTGCTAACTTCTGCCTGCCCTGCCCTGCCCTGTCACACTGCCTTGGAGCCAGCCAACTATGGACTGAAAGTTCTAGAAAGTATAAGCTGAAATAAACCTTTTCTTCTTTAACTTGTGGGTGTTTCAGCAATGAAAAGGTAACTAAGATGGAGCCCACGCTCTGTCATAAATCATTCATATTCTGTTTATTCATTTGTCTGTCCATCCATCATCCATCCCTCCACCTGCCCACCCATCCGTCCACCCATTCATCTATCTATCCATCTATCCATCTGTCTGTCATCCATTCCTCTGTCCACCCATGCATACATTTGACCATCCATCCATCTGTGGAGAACAGCTGACGTTGGAGATGGATCACACATGCAGGACTGAGCAAGGCCCGCCCCGAGAACAAAGAGTGCCTGAGGTGAGCCCCGTGAACATGCTGCTATGTTTTTACATCTGGTGCAGAAGGACTGTTCTGGGTCGATAAGGTCTGGTAAGTGCAGCTGCACTTACAGTTCGCAATTACTGCTCAGCGCTGCTCCTGACAAACAGGACACAACTCCTCATGCACCCTCAAGCCCAGCTCCAGGCAGATAGCCACGACTCCTCTGCACTGGACTCTTCCCGAAGGAAACCCCACTGTGACTTTCCCTTCCACAGCTCCCTTTTAATGCTCATAACCTTATAAAGATCTTACGGTCTGTATAAGAGTTAGCCGGTCTGGTCTCTAGTGCCAGTGCAGCCCCTCTCAGGTTTGTTCTAAAATTAATGTGTCCTGTTGAGTTCACACCCCTGCTTCTTTTCCTTTTTGCCCTAACACTACCCATCTTCCTATCTGTCCATCTACCCACTATTGCTCTGTCTACCTACCTATCCTTCTTCCATTTCTGGAGGAGAGAGCACCTCTACTCATTATTCATTAAAGAGCTCAAATGTTAGCTTCTTCCCCTCCTAGCAGGTGAATGAGCTCACCCAGATCTGTGCTCTCACACTACCCATCACAGTCTGGCTGACCTGCTGACGGCAGACATCCGGGCACCACATGGTTACGTTAGGGCAGACAAGATGCTGCTGCAGAGCCAACAAATTACCCTGAAATGCCAGTGATGGAACATAACAAAGATTTATTTCTTTTTAAAAAATAACGAAATGAGATAAAATTCATTTATCATACAATCTGACCACTTAAATCATCCGATGGCTTTCAGTGTGTTCACAAAGTTGTGCAACTATCACACAGAATTTTAGAACATTTTCATCCCCACGTCAGATCCCTGTGTCCATTCATGTCTGGTCCCGTCTCTTTTACTGCTTCCTGCCAGGCCTGGGAAGCACGGCTGTACATTCTGTCTCCTCGGTAGTCTGTCCTAGATGTTGCCTGTGAATGAGTTATACACAGGCTGGGAGTGGCTGGGGCAGAGCCTGTGCTCAGCACCCCCGGCGGCCGAACAGACAGGCCTCAATCCTGGGCTCACGCCACATGGCTCCTTTGTGCTCCCCTCTTTGTTGCACACGTGTCAAGACCTCTCTTCCTTTGCTCCTAAATAGTATGGCATTTTATGTGCCACCACACATTTAATTACCTGTCTAGCAATCCTGACCAATGGTTCTGTGGGTAAATATTTCTCTTCTGCCCAAGTCTCCTCTGTGAGCAGATACTCAGGGAGCTTGTGCCTCCACTGTCTCCACATGCAACCTCCGAATTTATTGTGGAAGGGGAGAGGAGTGTGACAGGAATCCACACTGGTCTCAGATCGCCTCACAATCCATCTTACCAAAGCCCCAAACTCAGAGCTGTCTTTCTGTTTCGTCCTCCCAAGTGCTGGGACTACAGGCATGTACCACCATGCCTAGCAAATTTGTAGCACTTATAGATACAATACCTGGTGACAGTGGAAAAACTAGAAGATAACAAGAAACAAGAAGGAAGACAGCTATCCTCTCCTCTAGGGTTAAGGAGACCTCGTAAATAGATTATCCAGCACCTCCACCCCCACCCCCCAGTTTCCCAGCCGGCCTTGCAGCTGGGTGGCCACGTAACCTAGTTCTGAAAGGAAAGGGCAAGACTTGGAGGAGCAGACAGGGTCCCTGCCATCCCTTGTCCTTTGAACGTGGGCATTAGAGCCATCTGGAGAACATAGGGCCAGGCCAATTCCCACAGCTGCCCACCACTGATGTCTTATTCTGTAAGAAAACTGATGTGTGTTCTCTCTGTCCTCAGCATCGCCACTGCCCCAGCACTGTCTTCATCTGGGAGCAGGTGCCAGCACCCTGGTGGGTCTTTCCACCCCTCCAGCACATATGTGGGAAGATGGTGTTTTGAATTATTGAGCAGCTGCCTTGTGAGCACCTGCTATCTCCTATCCGTTGTTCTCTACCCCCAGCCTGGCCTTTCATAGACGTCCTCCACAGTGACAATAAATGAGCTACAAAAACAAATGGCACGTTCTTGGCTACTCTCAAAGAGACAGAAACCCAGCAGCACCTGCAAAGGTTTGGGACCAGGTGTTTCTTGCTCCTGGGATCTGGGTGTGTGGCTGAGTTGGTACAGCCTGGCCGCACACATGAAGAGTGAGTTCAAATGATTTCCACTGTGTGGTTCTGTCCTGCCATTGGGAGAGTCGTGAGGGAGCCTGAGTAGATTTGCAACAGGCCCTTGTACCTTCCTCCTGAGTGCAGGTTTCTGAAATTACTCTCCATGTCAGACCCAGCAACCTGAGGGGCAAAGCAAGCCCACCGAGGGAAGGTCCCGGCATCCTCGTAGATGTGGGGGAAGCACTGGGAATTTCCCATCAGTCCCTGCGGGCCTGGCAGCACAGACACTGGGATAGGAAACCAGAGGAGCAGTTTTGGACAGGCAGCAATCCTCAGAGCTGGGGACAGGGACCAGGGAAGCTACACTGCGGAGTCAGGGAGGAGCAGAGGGTGGAGGACCAGATTTCAGCCCTGCGGTTCCTGGCAACACATCTGTCTACCCCAGAGTGCACGTCACCCCCTAGAGCTGGGAAAGAGCCAGAAATTGAGACAGAACCAGAAGTGACAGGATTATTTTAAGCTGCAAGAGAACATTTCCCATAACCCCCAGGAAAAAGAGAGAACAGCTTAAAGATCAGCTTGCTTTACAGAATCAATAAATGTATTGTTTTTATTTATTTATTTTTTCTTGTTGCTGGGATGGAACCCAGAGCCTCATGCATTCTATCACATTCCTGTTTTGTAAAATTTGTGTTTCCCTGAAACATTGTGAACATCTTTGAATAGCTACAAATATGAATTATATGGGTGCTTCTTAAACACTGCTTGAAATCCTTCAGAATTTGGTAAGAAATACATACCCAGAAAAAGGCAGTCAAATGTCTATATTTAAGAATGCAAAGCTAAGAATTGCTGTAAGCAGTGCCGTGTGAATGACTGAATTGTGTAGAATACGCAGACACTGCAATTTGTTTCATCAACCTCCTGTTGGATATTTGAACAGTCTTTGCTGTTATAGCTGATTGCTATTATTAGGAATCTTCCTACTTCAGACAACAGAATATCCAAATAAGGGTGGTTTCTTTTGCTTACATAATGAGACTCAGAAGAAGACACCCAGTGTAGACTTATTTAGAGTGTCCTCAGGGTTCCATACCCTTGCTAGCTTTCCTCTCCGCTGTGCTTAACTTTTGTCTTGTCAACTTGTTGCAAAATGGCTGCTGCAGCACCCGGTATCACATCCTTGGTAAAGGCAGGGTCAGGAGGGGGCAATACTTTCTACCAGAAAAGTGAACTTTTGCTTAAGTCTCAATAGTCAGAGCTAGATCACTGATCTATAGATCTGTAGGGGAAATTGTAAAGGTAAATATTTAGTTTCATCCAGACTATTTTAGTGGGGGCAGTTAAGCAAGACAAGTGCTGGTGATAGGTTTGGGGTTAAACACGGGGCTCAAATTTCTAGCATTTAATTAGTTAATTAATCAATTAATTAATTTTAGACAGGTTTTCACTATGTAACCCAGGCTGGTCTTGGACTTCGGCTGATCCTCTTACCTGAGCCTTTGGAGTGCTGGGATTACAGGCGTGCACTACCATATCTGGCCCAAGTCTCTAAACATTTCAGAAGCAACACACCAGAAAGGGCTTTATTAACCAAAAACCTCCATGCTGGCTTGAGGCCTGTGATTTATCAAAGGAGCGCTGTTTTCTTGGGCAAGGAATGCGCAGTGCCGTGCTAATCCCCGGCCACGGCTCTGCTAATTGGCGCCTCTGTTGGAAACACGGTTCGTGGCTCTGTGCAGAAACAGCCTCTGGGGCTCTAGGACCAACCCTGTGTAGACAGTGAAGGTCACTCCTGCAGGGCAGCGGAGATGCAGCACTGGGGCCCAACGCAGCCCAAGCACGCACCGCACTTCACTGCAGATCCCTGAGGCTCCCAAGGGCGTCGTGCCCCGCAGTACTCTTAAGTTATTTCGTGGAAACCTACTCCGAAGGTGGCCCTGTGGTGTTCCTGAGTGTGCCTCGGGTGCGTCCAGATGGGCCTGGGCTACAGCTTCCAGCAAACCCTTCAGCAAGTGCACTATGCTTTCTGCCACATCCAGGACCACAGACCAAGAGTGACTTGCACCTGCTCCCGAGCCTGAGTCCAGGGAGGAGATGACAGGAGGGGTAGACACTAGGCACCGGGATGCTAGAGGATGATAATGTACTGCAGAGTCCAAAAAGCTAAGAGAAAGCTTTTGTTTTCTTTTGTTTTAAGAGATTAGGTCTTGGCTGAGTGTGGTGGTGATGCACACCTGTAATCCCAGCACTCTGCTAGGATGAGGCAGGAGGATCCCAAGTTCTAGCCCAGCCCTGGCAATTTGGCAATTTAGAGAGACCCTATCTCAAAATAAAAATTAAAAATGAAAAAGGCTGGGAAGGTAACTCAGGTGAAGACCTTGGGTTTCATCTCCAGTACTGCAAGAGAAGAGGAAGAGTGGGAGAGACAGACAGACAGACAGACAGACAGACACTGTGTTACCCCTGCTGGCTTAGGCTCAAAGATCCTCTTGTTCCAGCTTCCCGTGTAACTGGAATCCAAGGTATGTGCCACTGTACCTGTCTAGAATGAGAGATTTTGAATGTTTTTACCATAAATAAATGATAAATATTTGAGGAACTATATTTACCCTGATTTAAATATGATACAATGTATGCATGTATCAAATGCACAAGGCATCCCATAGATATCTACAATTTTATATTTTTATGTATTAATCAAAAATAAATTTACCCAGATGTGGTATTGCCCCAAACCCTAATTCTCTGGAAGGCTGAGACAGGAGGGTTGAAAATTCAAACCCAACTGGGGCAATTTAGGGAGACCCTGACTCAAAAAATTTTAGAAAGTCGGAACGTGGCTCAGTGCAAGGCATGGGGTTCAATCCTCAGTAGTAAAAAAGAAAAAAATCCTTAAAAAGTAAGTTTGAAGAGGAGATCAACCCTCAGCAGGTGCTGACATGCCTCCCTTGTCCCCTGAGGCCCAAGCTGTGGCTTATAACCCGGCTTGCAGTCGGACAGCTGCGGTTAAAACCTTGTCCTAGTGAACTCAGCTGACCAGCGTGAGTGGCAGGATTTCTAACCAGTCTGCTTATTTTCATCTCATTTCTGTGGTGATGGAGATCAGTCCCATGACTGTGTACACGTTAAGCTTCTGTTCCACCCTGAGCCACGCAGGCCTGAGCCAGGACCCAACTGTCAGTGCTGGTGTTTGGTTTGGTTTGGCAGCCCGACCAGCTCCCAGCCGGTTAAGGTCAACTCTCACTCAGTTCAGCACAGGCATAACCCAAATCTGTGTTCCTCCACTCAGATGATCTCTCTGAGTGAAGCAGTACAAGAGCCATACCTCTTCTCACAGGGCCGAGGGCCAAGCAGCTTCATTCATCAGCACAGCCTGTGCATTATTATATCATCATCATCATCATCATCATTATTTTATTTTTGACAAGATTTTGCTAAATAGTTCAGGTTGGCGTGAAACTTGTGCAGATCTTCCTGTTTCAGTCTCCCAAGAGCTAGAATTACAGGTGTGCACCACCATGCCTGGCTTATATGGCAACAGCAAGCAGAAACACCACAATGACACGCAGGACTTGGAGGCAGATTTATTTATGTCGATTGGCACTTATCAGGATCATCCCCAAAACATCAGGCCTTGGTTTATGGTGGTCTAGAGCCTACAAGAGATAAGCAAGCAGGAAGTACAGAGGCAGAGTGACTTGTCAATGGGGATCGGCTCTTACGATATACACCAGCTATGCATCACAGTGACCAGTCACTTCTAAGAAATAAGAGTGACAGGAGCTGGAACTGGAACAATCACTAGGCAGCTAAAAAAGTGAAGTGTACTGGCTGGGTGGGCCATTTTCTGTTACCATAGCAACAATATTAGCTGGCTTGTGTTTCCCACATGCCCGATGTGGGTGCCCTACACTCCCAAACCTTGTCCTCACTAGGACAAGGTTTTAACCGCAGCTGTCTGACTGCAAGCCGGGAACACGAGCACATGTGGAGCTGGGTCTTTAAAGAGACCATAGTGTTCAATTGTGGTCATGGGGCTGGACCAAAACTCAGTATGGTAGGGTCCAAGAAGAGGACATTTGGCAAATCCACAGAGTGCTCACCACAGGAACACATGGGAGAAGGTGGCATCCCTGAGCAAGGAGCAGGTCTCCAGCGGAACCAGCCTTGACCTGAGCTTCCTCTCTCCCAGAGCTGTGTGAAAACAGTTCCTTTCTCCCAGGAAGCCACTCAGCCTGCAGTTCTTTGCTGTGTGGTCCTTGCAGAGGAACACAGCCAGCAAGTGTTGGAAGAGTGTCTCTTGGTGATTTTTAAAATGCTGAAGCCAGGGCCATGGTGGGAACCCAGACGGCTGCAGAAGGCAACTCATCCACCCTCTTGGTAAGCACCTCCCTCAGGTGCGAGCCAGGAGGAGACGCAGTCACTAGCTCCTATGAGCCTTCCCATGCACCGGCTGGAAACCAAACATCCCAACCCTCCCCACCCTGTTAGCAACTGGGGACAGAGGTCTAAACAGGACTTGGGAGGATGACTGTATGCAGTATAGCAAATACGGGGGATTTCCTTCCATCTTCTGTATGAAGGCAAAGGTTTTTTCTCACTGTTTTGTTTCCTTACTATTGTATTACCCTCTTCCATATTCTCTTTCAAATGTTTTTGTAATGTTCTGGTTTTGATTTGATTTTGCTATACCTGATTGAAAGGACAACTATTGTGAAGGTAATGAGATATACTATGATACCTGTTACTGTTGTCCCGGTATCCTGCAGTGAAATCCTGTACCATTTTCACTACATTGTCTCAATTGGCTTTGTTCTGTCTTGTTCTGTTGTATTTTAAAATTTTTTTTATTATTATGAAGGTAGTAAAATACAATAGAACACGATAGAACAAAACCAACTGAGACAATGCAGTGAAATTGGTACAGAACATCATAGCAGGTTACCAGGGTAACAGTAATAGGTACCAGAGTATATCTCAGTATCTTCATAATAGTTGTTCTTTCAATCAGGTATAGAAAAATAAAATGAAATACAGAACATTATAGAACTTATGAAAACAGCATATTGAATGGAGCAGTACCATTAATCAGAATAAAGCAAAACAGTGGTAAAAATATTTGCCTTCAAAGAGATGGTAGAAGGAAAACTCCCTTATTTGCTGTATTGCATATGGTCAACCTCCCAAGAGATGCTCAGACATCTGGCTCCCATTTGCTAACAGAGGGGGTAGGGTAGAGAATGGGATGTTTGATTCTCAGCCCACATGCTGGTAGGCTCAGGGCTTCGTACTAGGGAGGTGATTGGGTAGCTTTTTTTCCCCCGGTGCCCTAAGTTTCAATATGGCGGGATCGTGGGAGGCGCTGGCTGGCTGGTTTTCTCCCTGGAGTACACATTGCTCGCTCAAGCCATGGCTGCTTACCAGGGAGGCGAGCGGGTTGCTTTCTTTCCTAGCGCCCTAAGTTCCAACACTGTATTTTTAACTACCTTCAAAAAAAAAAATACTGAAGCCCAGCTCAGTGCACACACCCAGCATCTAGGGAGGCTGAAGCAGGAAGATCAAAAGTTTAAGGCCAGAAATAAAAGGGGGCTGGGAATTTAGGTTGGCAGTGCAAGTGCTTACGTGGCAAGTGTGAGGTCATGAGTTCAATCCTCAGTACATCCTCAGTACCAAAACAAAAACAAACATTTTGAAATAAAAGTTTGAGGCCAGCCTGGGCAACAACTCTGCCTCAGAATAAAAAAAAGTAGAAAGGGCTAGGGCTGTACCTTGTGGCAGAACGTTCCTGGCACACACAGGAAGGCTTAGTCTCTCTCCCAGAGAGACTTTGCTGTGGCTGACCTGGTTCCTTCTGAATCGTTCACCTTTCCCTTGCACAAACCACATGTCCAATGCACTTGTCCCCCTGCACACACATTACCCTGGGCATGGCCTTAGCACATGACAAAGCATCCGGAAGATGCTGTGGGACCAGCTAACTTTACAGCTTTGGAAAGTCAGAACAACAGCTGGCGAGTCACTAGCAGGGCTGGGAAAGCCAGGCGCTGAGGTGACCAGTGGTGGCCTGTTGGGTATTTTAAGCTGCTGAATTGAATTAGGAGGAGCGGGAGGAGTCACCAGGCTCCCGGAGAGCAACCCTGGGCTCCCCCTTCCCCCCCCTCCCCCCCCGACTCTGGCCCCTCTCCCCACCGCCTAAGTAGGTCACCGCCAGCACAGGGAGGCGGCCATGCTGTGTGGGAGGCACAGACCTGGCCTCGGCTGCAGTGCCATCTGTGATCGCAGACTCTCAGGCTGCCAGCTTGGAGAACATTCGCTTGTCTAAATTTCTTTTGTTCCAGATGGCGAAGCTAGGCCCAGAGGCAAAGGGAACTTTTCTAAGGTTGCATAGCCAGGTGGGGCTGGGGCAGTGACATGAGCCTGAATGTCTTGCCTTTTGGCTGCAGCCCTTCACAGGGTGCCAGGTTGTCTGAAAAGTTGTATCTAGATGCCCAGATTTTGCTCTGCCTTCTTCTGCCTGCTTTGGGTATCTATTTCTCCCCTACAATTAAAAATAAGAGAGCAGACAATGGGCTATGTCTATGGGGCAGTATGGTCCACCTTGTAGATGATGGGTTAGTAGTGGCCCTGGAGTAGTGCAGTGCACAGCTTGAGAAGCTGTACCAGGCGGTCCTGGCTATGAAGAGCTAAGTGACATCATGCTTGTCAGTGCCTTAGCATAGTGCGGGGAGCAGTTGAGCTGTGCTGATCGACTACACATTTGTGGCTAGAGCAAGGCCAGTCCTGAGAGCACAGCTTGCCAGAGGCACTGGGATTAGCACAAGGCCAGTCCAGGCAAGCGTCCGGCCTCAGTGTTCCTTCCTGCTGACTGCAGCACAGAGAGCACCGAGAATGTTTTGCTTTCCGCATCCTCAGCAAAACACAGAGACCTTATACTTTCGGTCCCATCACACTCTTCCCCACTTTTTACTGATATAAATAAAGAAGTAGTCCATGCTGGGTTGTTGCTGCCTCTCCATCAGAGAGGTCAGGTCCCACCCAGACTCAGCTTTTTCCCATGTGACTTGTTTCTCATCGGCCTCCGCCCCCCGCCACCCCCTTGCTTAGGACCCTGCTGCCTGCAGGATTGCGGCACCTATGAAGAGCTCATCAAACGTTTGGCTATTATTATCTTCATTTTCTGGTTTAAGACAAGGTTTCACGGTGTAGTCCAAGCCGGTCTTGAACTCACTGTACAGCAAAGGCTGGCCTCAAACTTGTAGTGATCCCCCTTGCCCCAGCTCCTGAGTGTTGGGATTAGAAGGCTGTGTTACCATGCCTGGCTATTATTATCTTCATTTTCTTTGCCATCATGAAGAACCAGCTGTTTTATCTTTGAAGCAGCAAGGAATGGCAGGGCCACACAGGAAATTCATCTTTTCATGTTTCTTTCTGTTATAAAGGTAACAAGCACTCAGTAAAGAAAACCTGGAAAATACATAAGAACACACAAAACGACAAAAATAACCCTGCATGCAGAACCATCCTGTTGACATATGGTGTGTGTTTTCCAGGCTTTGATTTCCCACCTGTCTCTTTCACTCACTAATGCATTAGCAAAGCTTTCCCAAGGCAACAGTCTCAGCCTCCAGCCTCAGCTTCAAGGAGAGGATTACAGCACAGTGACCAAGAACATGAATTCTGAGTCTAGATTGCCTGGTTTCAGATATCAGCTCTCACTTGCCCACTGTGTGACCTTGGGCAAGATAAGTAAGCTCTCTGGGCTTCAGTGTTGTCTCCTGTACAGTGCAGCTAATGCAGAAGTGTTTTGAAGGTGATCTAAATTAATGCCTGCAAAATTCCCAGAGAAGTGCTTCGCTCTCAGTGAATTGGTTTGGAGGGGTTCAATGGGCTGATGGCGTACAGCGCATGGTGTCAGGGGATACAGTCCGTGGTCAGCTGTCCCAAGACAGGAAGAACATCATGGTAGAAGAATGTGGGGGAACAAAACTACTCAGTTCCTGGAGGGAAACGGATCAGGGAACAGAGAAAGTCCCCAAGGCCACACCTCCAGGACCCAACCAGATATCCCAGAGTGTGGTTTACTAATCCCCTGGTGGTTCCTAAGCCCATTCAGCTGACAGTTAAGTTTAACTGTCACAGGGGATTTGGCACATCATTGTCACAAGAACAGCCCATTTGGGAGACACCACACAGCACTGTTGGCTATGCTGGTCCCTTATTATTGGCCCTGTAGGTAGTTCCATTTTTCTTTATCCTAAATAATGTGGCTACCATACATTTTTCAGTATCTTTGAGGATGTCTGTGGTTATTTTATGAAAATAAATTCCTAGAAATGGTATTGCTGGTTTATAAATAATGCATGTGCCAGGTCATCTGAGTATGTACCAACAGACATGATGACAGAATTGGCAGGGATGGGAAAGTGTCAGGAGTCTTATGGGAAACACTGGGGTGCAGACTAGGATTAGGAAATGTGCTTTAGTTGTGGTTTGGGGTGATCCATATTTGATGCTGGCAATGTGATCCCTGCCCTTTGGAGTTCACTGCCATGTTGCCCCATTCTGATTCTGGGAGTACCTACTACCTCTTGTCTGTGTCCCAAAACCAGCTATGCCATGAGGTAATTAAGACTCTGAAATATATCTGCTTTTTAAAAAAACAAGCACAGCCAGGGATGGTGGCACCCAACTGTAATCCCAGCACTCTGGAAGCTGATGCAGGAGGGTTGCTTGAGTTCAAGACCAGCCTGAACTACATATTGAGATCCTTACTCAAACAAAACAAAACAAAAAATTTTTAATTAATTAATTAGTTTCTGTTTTTTTGAGAAGGGGTCTTTTATGCAGTTCTGGCCTTGAATTAGCTCAGTCTGGTCATATCCTCTTGCTTCCAGCCTTATGAGTGCTGGGATTACAGACTTGTGCCAACATGTTTAAATCCATTTTATTTATTTATTCACTTGTTTATTTAGTTAGTCTTTTTGAGACAGGGTCTCACTATGAGCTGGCCTTGAGATCACTTTGTAGCCCAGGCTGATTTTGAATTTGTAACAATCTTCTTGCCTCAGCCGATCAAGTGTTGGGATTACAGGTATGTGCCAGCATGCCTGGTTTAAACCATTTATTTTAAAAGGACATTTTAAAATCACTAATGAATGCCATGTCCACCTGTTGTGCAAGGAAAGTCAGTGAGGAAACAACTACCACAGGGCGAACTAGTATGAAGCAGTAGCAGCCCCTGGAAGGGATCTGTGCTCCAGGCCCCATGCTTGGTTGTTGCCAGCTACAGAGGTGGGAAAGCCTTAGGAGCACTGAGCTAAAGCTCTCTCCTTATTATAATCAGAAGGACCAGAAGAAAACAGAAGGGAGCTTTTAATTTTTATTTAAACTAATTGATTTTTTTGTAAACTGGGAGAGTGGGGTGGAGGGAGCTCTAGATTTTCTGATGAAGGATCTATGTACTTTCTCCCACGTTTGTGCCTAAATTTTATGTCCCTGACTCTTAGGGAGTCAGCTGCACCTGGTCAGAAAATCTTCACAAGCTCCTTCTCAAGAGGATGCGTAACTGTCGCCTCCACATCACCGAGGACGAGGATCTGAGACCTGAGACCTGTGCCCAAGGTCAGTCCAAGGAGTAGAAGTGAGAGGCAGAGCCCCAGGGCTTTGGCTGAAATGTCACACTGACCTCTCTGCTGCACTGCCAGTACACTAGGCAGTGGCATCCTGGTCCCTCCCTGTCGCACCTATTCTGACCATGGGACTCGCCTCGGATTCCCCAACCTGTACTGGGGCTTCATCTTGACAGTTTTACTCTGTTTGGCCTTGACCTTGACCTTGACCTTACGCTGCTCCTTGGCCTAGTGGCTGGGAGGAGTGGGCCCACAGCATCACACGAGGTAGAAAGGAGTCACAGGGATGGTTACTGTCGAACCCTGATTTACTGAGCCCCAGCAGGACTCCTTGACCACCATCCTTTCCTAAGTCACATGGGCCATTTTCCTCCCTGACAATTATCTTGTTTGTTTTTCCCTATGGTTGCATGTGACAAATATTATTGTAAGTACTTTCAAAAAGAGGACACTGAGCATATGTGCATGGTCACATAGCTACTAGAGGTATGATAAAAAAGATATGGTGAATGTTTAAATGTGACCAGGGTCACTTCTGCTGTGTGGCATTGGCAGGGCATCGGTGACCCCTGTGTCCATCACTGGGATAGAAACAGAGGGCTGGCCCTTTGTTCAGTTCCCTTTGGATGGCACAGTCTGGCACAGCTGTCCACAGAGGAGTCGAGTGCCCAGGTCATGTGTGGTGCCCCAGGGTGTGGCTGTGGCTTTGCTTAGATCCCGTTGTCCCTGGGGTTCCTTTGCTCCCCCTGCCTGTGTCTTGATTTTGCTTTTCTCTGAGTTTCTCTAGTTTGTCTGGCATCCTGCACCTGACATGGAAGAAGCGTGGGTTGACGGGCCTCGGGAACCTGATGGGGACAAGAGACAGAACTAGAAGCACTGATCCACTTGTCTGAGCCCTCAGATGGAGTCCAGAAGGGCTGAGCTGTGGGCATGGGCTGAGTGTTGGGGGACACCAGGATCTGTCCAGTAAGCCTGATGCCCGCCTTCCTGAGGGGGGTCCTGAGCAGCTCTTTGGCTGGGAGAGAGACCGGAACTTCATTTGCAGAACTCTGTGCTGTTGTTTGAGAAAGCACTCACTGCCATCATCTCTGTCCAAGACCTGGCAATGAGGCTGCCATGGTTGGCACCTGGCTCAAAGACCCTAGGAGAAAAGACAGCGGAGTGGGAAAGCGGTGGTAGTGGAGGATGTCGGGGATGCTGTGACCTGTGCGGGACATGAAGCTGCTTCTGCTGGGGAGGCCCCAGGAGCAGCATGGAGCACCTCCCTGGTGACCCTACCCAGGCTCTGCTGCCATCAGGGCTGCTCCTAAAGGGGTCGGATCTCAGCCCACTGTGCTCTGTGCTGGGGTCTCAGCATGGTAGGGAGCACGACCCAGGTGTCACAGTGTGTGTGACAGCCAGAAACTATTCCAGCTTGCCCAGAACTAAAGGGATTTATCTAAGCCATGGGGGAAGAGCAATTTAGCAGACTAAAGCCCACCTGTTACCTGGCATGTGCTTAGCAAGCTCAAGGCCCCAGATTCGAGTATTTAGAATTAAATAAAACAAACAAAACAACAAAGCCAAAATGACTCTGGAAAAAAATGCTTAAATTTCTTTTTAGAAGATGATAAAGATGTTCTGGGCTTGTAGGTGATGGCTCCACTTCGCACAATTTTGTGACTGTGTTAAAAGTCACTGAATTATATATGTTAGAAGAGTGAATTTTGCTATATATTATAAACCATTTCAAGATGGACTCAGCCAGGCATGGTAGCCCATGCTTGTCTTCCCAGCTGCTTGGGAGATGGAAGCAGGGAGATCTCAAGTTCAGGCCAGCTGGGCATACTGAGAGAGACCATATCTCTAAACAGACAGACAGACAGACAGACAGAGACACAGGTCAATGGAACAGGATTGGGAGTCAAGATATAAACTCTTATTTTTATAATCCTTAACTTGATTACATCTGTGAAGACGTCTTTTTTAATGCAACTATACTTGTAGCCATTTCTTGAGAGTAGGACACATTTGTCTCTCCTGGGGACACCAATCAATCTACTATACTCCCAGATGGGAGACTGAGCTACTCAGCAGAGAAACCCAGCTGGTGACAGCAGGGCAGAGATGTGAACCAGTATAACATCAACATGCAGGGAGGCCGATGGGAGGATCCCAGAAAGACACTGAGGAAGACCTGGAATAAACACAATGACAAAATGAAGGGAAAGAATGAACAGAAAGCCTGGGCCCCATCCAGTCATTGTTTCCTCCCCAGGCTTCCATGGGGTGGGGCAGAGGGTCCACAGGGGTTTCTGACCACAGAGATGTTTTGTTGGGGCTGGATGATACCTTTCCTGCTGCCATGTTGGGTCTGGGGGATAGAGAGCCTTGACCTTTCCCTAGAAAGGCAGCTGGTGTATCTCTTACCTTCTTGCCTTACTCTGGATGCACGTTTAGGTAAAACTCAAGAAGATGAATCTCCAAAGGTGGTTGAACTTGATGTGTCTTGTCACTTCTGGTTGGTATAGCAAAATACCACCATGGAATGGCTTAAATGTCCAAGATTTATTTGACCAAGAGTGGGAAGCTGGAAATCCAAGAGCTACAGCCAGAAAGCTGTCCAGGGACAATGATGACGTTGCTCTTGTCTGAATTAAAGGCTCGAAAATCAGGAGCACCCCTGGGCTAGGTTCCAACTCCAGGCTGACTCAAAGACAGGAGACTACTATCCCAGCTTGAAGACAGGTGGGCAGAGAAAGAGCTTTCTCTCGCTCAAGTTTTCAGTTTTCTCAGACTTTCAACAGATTGGATGAGTACACCCAGATGGAATATGGCAGCCTGTGTTAGTCTCCCATTCCAACACTTCCCTCACCTGTAATACCTTCATGGGACCCAGAAATACATGTGACTACGTATCTAGGCACTTGCCATGGCTCTGTCAAGGTGAGACATTAAATGGATCATCACAAGTCAAAATCGATTTTAGTTGACTTGGGTTTCTTTAACAAAATATCATAGACTTGCTGGCTTAAGCTCTTGAAATGTATTCTCAGTCCTGGAACCTAAAAGTCAGTTATCAAGATTGCTGATTGCTAGTGTGGTCAGGTTATGGTGAGGGCTCACTTTCTCGTTTGCAGATGGCTGCCTTCTTACTATGTCCTTTCATAGGCGGGAAGAAGAAGTGTGGGAGAGAGAGAGAGACAGACAGACAGACAGACAGACAGAGAGCTGGAGAGAGAGAGAGAGCGAAGGAGGAGGAGAGAATTCCTTTCCTTATACAGGCACTAATCTTATGATGAAGGCCCCAACCCTACGACCTTTTCTCCTTTTCCAGGAAAGGAACTCTGTTCTGTCTCAAACACCTCATTCCCTAACACCATCTAGGGGTAGGATTTACATCTGCATGTACCCCTAAAGCCTCATGTGCTCCTAGGTGAGACTTTTGGAAAGTGATTGGTTTAGGGGAGATCGTACCTGATTTCCTGTGAGGGGGTGGGAGCTGGTTGGCAGAGGTGAGTCACTGGGGGTATGGCCTGGAAGGGTGGCTCTCCCTGGCTCCGCCCCCTCTCTCTGCTTCCTGTGTGCCATGAAGTGAGCAGCTTTCCTCCACCAGGCTCCTTTGCTTTGGAGCCACTGAACCATGGACAGAAACTTTACAAACTATGAGCCAAAATAAACCTCTTTGCCTTTAAGGTGTAGGTGCTGGGCATTATGTCTCAGTGACAAGGACAGTGACGAAGACGCCATCACACTAGGGGTTGAGACTTCAGCCTGTGAATTTGGGGATGCCTCACTCAGTCTACAGTAGTGTGTGGTGGTGAAAGTTGTCTTTTTCTGCCTCTCCAAGGACTGAGGAGTCTTTGGCCCCAAGCAACCCCCAAAATCCAAGTCCCTGGTCTCAGCTACCATATCCAGCAGCCCCACAGGTGCTCTCTTCCCTGTTAGTGTCCCTGCTCCACTCACTGAGAAGTCACAGATGTTGTGTAGACAACAAGAGTGAGAATCAGCAGATCCACAAGAGAGATCCAGGTGGCATCCAGGATCTGGCCCACAGGTGACCTGCCAGGGGCCTCAGCCTACTTCCTTAGCCCCCCAAGACTTTTCATTTGTATGAAAGGAATCAGCCCAGTGTCCACCTTGGTTGTGTGAGGATCCAATGAGACAGCGCTTCTGAACTCCTCTTTCCTAATTCTTCACCCTCCTCATTGGCATGAATAAGCCCAAAGAAAACTAGGAGACAGAGCTGAGCTGGTGGAGAATTTCTCTGAAGGTGGAAACATCAGTTTAGGGGGGAAGCTTATTTCTAGACACCTCTCTCAGATGCTTTGTCCCACAAGGTTTCTCTCTTGTGGTACACAATGAGGCTGCCTTGGGTGGCATTCTGTGTCACATCATGTCCTGCCTGATTCCTGACTCCACATCCTTCTCACATACAGAACTGAGATCCCATTGCCTACCCAACAGCCTCCACCCCAGCCCTGACATCAGGCAGAATCTGTGGAGACCAAGAAGGCCTGTCTCTATCTTTTCTCTCTGCTTCCTGTTCGCCATGCCATGAGCAGCTGTCCTCTCTCCACCCAGGTCCTCCCACCACACATTGCTTTATTTAAGCCTGCTGACCATGGACTGAAACTTCTGAAACTGTAAATAAGAGCCAAAATAAACCTCTTTTTAAAAAAATGCACACATTGCATCAAATGTGCAGAAGAAATACTATGCTAAGTTCTGAAATTTGAGAGTGTTTAAACTCTGGAATTTGATGTGTTTCTGCTTTCATTCATATAAAATGAAGTGGGGCTTTGTAGGCCAGATGAAGGAGCTTGGATGTGATTTTCATGGTTGTCTAGACTTATGGGGGCCTTAGTTGCAAGCAACAGAAACAGCTCTGGAGGACATGGTTGTCCCTTGGTGTCCATGAGGAACAGGCTCAGGAACCCCCATGGATATGAAGGTCTGTGGGTGCCCACGTTCATTAAGTAAAGTGGTACAGCATTTCCACAGAACCTCCACACATCCTTCTACGGGCTTTAAATCATCTCAGATTGCTCACAATGCCCTCCATTAGGTGAATCTTGAGTAAACAGTGTTGTAGTGTATTGTCATCTCTGGAATAATGATGAGACAAAAGGCCATCTGTGTTCAGTGCAGGTAAGATTTTTTCCCAAGTGTTTCAGTGGTTGATGGGAGTCATGCAGGCAGCAGCCACAGGTGAAAGACTGATTACATCAGCAGGAAAGCAGTGAACTGAAAGGACACTGGGTATCTTCTGGATGGCCAGCAAAACCAGAAGCCAGGACTGCACTATGGGAAGCTTCAAAAGGAGAATACACAGCCAGAACCCTATGTGAAAACAACATCACAACCAGACTGTGGAGACTGACCTACTCTCGCTGCTGATCATTAGATGGTCTTGTCAAGACAGCTGACACCTCCAGCCCTGGTCTGGCATTTCCAGATATTGCATGCTGGGACTCCTCATCTGCTTCTTTTTGTCATTAACTCCAGAATTAACTCTACAAATTCTGAGAAGATCAGCTTGGCCAAACCTCAGTTATGGCTCCTTGCTCTGGTTGCCAGGAGGTCTGTGTTATGGTTATATCTAGATTTTCCCCAAAGCCTCATGCATTCATGGGCCCAGATTCAAGGAGGCAGTTGGATCATGGAGGTGTGATATTCATCAGTGGATGAGTCCATTGATGAGGTTAGAGCTAAACGTGGTGTTGGAAGGTGAAGCCTGGTGAGGTGGTCACTGGGGCATGGACTGAAAAGGTCTATCTTCCTCCTCCTCGCTTGATTGCTATTTCCTGTCTACCACGTTGTGAGCAGCACCCTCTCTGATGTCCTCTGCCATGCCACCCTGCCTTGGAGTCAGCCAACTATGAACTGAAGCCTTTATAATCTGTGAGTCTAAATATCTTCTACTTAGAGTTGTGAGCATTAGGCATTGTGTCTTAGAGATGAGAAAGTGATTAAGAAATTCTGAGATAAAGCACTGGGCTTCTCAGTGTCTATATTGGGAGGCTGCCTTTGCCTTCAATCAAGAGTTGGAAAATCTCAACACTGAGATTCCATCTCATTCCATGAGATATTCACTACAATGTGTCAGTGTTCACTAGAGAAACAGATATAACAGGAGGCATACAAATAGGTAGCCACTTACAAGATTGGCTCACAGTGGCCACCCACAGAGTTGGATGAAGAAGAGTGCAGAAAGTGTCTGCAAACTGGAGAATGAAAGTTTCAGTCTGAGATCTGGAGCTCACCTGAGTGTCCCATGCTAGTCCAAGTCAAGGGGCTGATGGTTCCGCAGCAGAAGGTTGAAGAGTCTGCACTGGAAGCCATAAGATGATGTCCAAGATGAAGGCAAAGACTGAAAAAACAGAAGCAGATCCATCCTTCATTTCCCCTTTATACCATCCAGGCAAAAAACCACCCTAGGGCGGGTCTTCCACACCATAGGGTGTGGAACTGCTGAGCTTTATTTAGTTAAACTTCTCTTACTCAAAGTGATGCAATCAACCAACCATCACACTCCAGAAAGAATAGCCATCATCAAGAAATCAACCAAGAACTTGCAACACAGTTC